GGCTAGTCAGATCCCGTCAAACGCACAACAAAACGATACATAAAAATCAGAAGCAATATTTGCCCGTTACCCTTCTTAATCAGTATATTGGCTCTATGTTTATTATTACACGTTAAAGTTGTTGAAACAACATGTTAGTTTGTTGTGTCAAAGACACGTCAGCTGCTGTGGCTTCCAAGGTGCGTTCCATGCCAATCGACCGTATCGCATAGCTATAGCAAGCTATCCTACAACAGAGAAGTTCAATTGTAGGTGTCAAAGATGTTTTTTCATATTTCTGTTTGTTCCATGTAGCAGTCAGCGGTGATTTGATTGCGGTGGTGCATCGTTCTAGATTTGCCCGCGGGTGACAAAATCGTTGCTCGTTCAGGAACAGCCGTAAATTGGATTCCTAGAAATCGATAGTAAACAAAAGTGTGGCGTTCACGGCAAAATCGTAACATTTAATAGACGGAGAATTAAGGCTGTGAGGCACGAACTTTTTTCGTATTACCCGAACCTGTCGGAGCGAAACGACCTTGGGTTTTGACAACTTACTTTCTCTTTCTATACTACATGTATAAGATAATAATAAAATAATAAGCATAATATCGATAACACGTTTTCGATCAAGTAAAACAATATGAGTAAAAAGGAAAATCGGCTTGTCCTCTTGAAGTTTGTTGTACACCTTTAACTAGGCATGTTGGAAAGGGAAAAGACAGGCTCTGTATAGTTATCCTAATTGCATTCACAGAAAATTGCGTGTAACCAGTGTGTTACCGTTTTATGTGCTATGCTGCACAATCGCTCGGTCCTCATAATAGAAAAATGGGGCACTCTATTAACGTAATGCTTTATAATGCCTTATAATGACGAATAGTCTTTAGGTAGAGGTATTGTCAAGATATACTGTTACGAGAAAGTTAGAGGCCCCGGTTGAAGTTGAACTCATCAGGAAAGGTGGGTTGCATTAACAGATTTTTCGGTAGTGGGTGCAGCTAAAACTAGCGAGAAGATACCTTGAAAGTAGTACTGGGTATTCTGAAGTATAGTCATTTTTATTAGAAGGAGCATTAATGCTAAAAAATATAGAATTTTTTTTTCATTCGACTGTGATACGATAAGACGTAACCTGTATATTAGAGAGTAATAAAAACGCCAAAGATGAATTTAAATAACAATAATAGTAATAATATTTAGAGACGAAATATATCAAATGCTTTACAGGAAAGAAGAAAACAAATTAGGTAACGTATAGATACGACGTTCTCCGTATTATAAATCGAATAGAGAGCAGATCATCGTCTGTTTGCATATCCTGTCTGGGTGTTGACAAGTGGTTTCACCGATAATTAAGATATTTTCTAGTTGTACTACTACTAAATTCACACTCGTTGTGTTTCGGGCGCAAAAAATAATCGGGTTCTCATTTACCACTTTTATGTGTTTACCTCATTTTGCAAATACGGGTACTTATTTTTGGCGTGGTCTATTGTTCTGACTATTTGTAATAAACTGGCTCAGTCAGGTACGCTGCGTACCGAACACAGATCGAAGTCTTTGCAACAATCGAGAATCTTTCAGGTTTTTATAGGCCTGCCGAGTAGAAAGACCCTTGGTGACGGCCAACGCTGTAGTGGGCCACGTCACATGTGGTCGAGGAAGTATTTCGTCCACTGATCGAAGCTCTGGCGCCAAAACGGCAGCGCCTTAATTATTGCTCAGAAGTTACGCCGACGATGGCCAGATAGCCGCGAATTACAAAGGTTTTCTCAGAACTACGCCGCAGCATGTATGCACCCTGAGCGAAAGCCAAAAATGGTTTTCGAATTCAGCTTGATCAACTAAACTATTTCCATAAAACTTCCTACTGCGTGGGCTTGTGTGTGTATCAGACTCGAGTCAACACGAACTTACGCTACTTCGTTCCCAATGTACGCGTGCATCAGAAACAAGAACCGAGTAAGGCAACAGGCACCGTCTCTCCTGGGACAAAGCTGTAAATTTAGCGGGCCTGAGGCGTGGATGGTAGAGGTTAGACGCTTCTTTGTCAGCCTATACATATTTAGCCATCGACGGCTATGCTGATGACAACCCATTTACTAATTTGATTTTTAGTTGAAAAAACGAGAACTGTTAGAATATGCTGGTTGCTTGTATGCTAGGGGCCATCTGCGCTATACACCGAGTCCTAACGGCACCGATTCTGTCCCCCCCGCCACCTAACTCATGTGTATTTGAGGTTACGCACGTCGTTCAAAAATGAAATCGAGGCGGAACAATAGTAGATTGCCATTCAGCTGTTGTATCTGCACATACCATGCGTACGAACTGTGGTCGTGAAAGGCACTGCTTTAATTATATTTCTACTTCTCTTGTCAGGTTCCTTATAAGAAGGCCTCCAAACAGACAACATATCTGTCTACCCTCTTCCCTTCACCTCCGCAGCGACCCTCCTTCGTCCTGATCGGGCGACAGACTCTGCTTGACCAAGCTGATACCAACCATATCTCGTTTCAACCAGATTAGCCCTGCAGCAGGCTTCGTTGACGATTCTCTGCTAGTGACAGAAAAGAGGGGACATTTGAGACGATTACTCAAGCCCTACCATTCGAGAAGAGCGTGCAGAAAATAGCTTGTTACCCGCTAACTGTCTTGCTGTGACATGTCTGATCACAAACCAAGCTGCTCACGTACGGCCTATCTAGAGAGATTTAAAAAAAGAGAAAATCGGGCCGAATAGATTGTTTTTGCCGATATGGCGATGAACCACGGTGTGATTTGATTTTTGTCAGAAGAGTCTGATTCTTAGAGAGTTACCAACTATTCGAGCGTAAATGGGGGAAAGAGCAGGCCACAGTAATAAACTTCTAAGAAAAACAAGATCCTTCAAATACCTTTCTACCTGTAGTATATAATATAATCTCTCTCGTCGCCTTGTTATGCTATGTAACATTTATGTTCTCTCCTTGTGTTTTTTTCCGGCCGCTGATCTCCTGGTTCCACAAATGACAAGATTTCCACTGCTGTTGCTGTTGATCAGTTGGAAGCCTAGCTCTGTATGTGTAACTGAGGCACACAAAAGAAGCACCATAAATACAGCACAAAAAAGTGCCTTTAACAGCGTCTTCTTTTTGGTGATTTATTTTTTTTGGCGAGAACTCCGATTCAATGGTATTAGTGGTGACCTAGTTATCATTCGCAAGAATAACAACAAGCGAATAGGACCACGGTAAAAGGGCTAGGGCATAACTAGACAAGCACCATAGCGCAATCTCCTATCCAATGTTTCGATTCGCAATTTTTTGAGGTTCTTTCATTCCAGTCCTGTCGCTATTTTTGCCTCTATTTTTCTTTGACTGAAAAAGAGAAACAGAAAGAAGCAGTTTTTGTCTAATATAGCCTCTATTCCCTAAATGTTTTTCTTTGTGTCGGTTCACCCAATACAGCAGGACCCTTCCAGCTATTATTATTAATCGCTTATAGTAATTATTTAGGTTATTATCTGCCCCCAGCAGTTTTTTGCATTGAATCGATATCATTGTCGTCATGTTAGCGCCGCACGATGGCTTGTTTTCTGTGACGGGACTATGGAAGTAGATAACAGCAAGTAGAGCAGCGACAGTGGCTGCAGCTTCAGTGAAGCCGCGCATCGAAAGCGACGACGATCATTTATTGAGTGATGAACGGCTAGCGTCAGTCCACTCACATACAGGTTTTAGACAAACAAAAGGGTGAAAAAGAAGCATCACAATGTAAGTTATGTCGTGGGTACTGAGGCGGTCATCGTCATAGAGCTGAACTGATGGCACATGAGAGGAAGAAAGAATGTAGACGTTTGTCCGTGGTCAGGAGGTTCTCTCCACTCCATTATATCACAATAGGTCGCCATGGTTCTGCCACGTGCGTCGGTCTTACAGCGCAGCCTCGCAGAGGTGCTACTGACAGAACGGTCTTCTGGGAGTAGCTGTATTGTTTCATGGCTAATAAGGAGTTTGTTTTTCTAGTTTCTGCTTTCCAGTTGGGGGCGATTGCTGCTAGGTTTGTTGACTGTGCGATGGATTGTAGGTGTCTGAATGCTATGAGTTGAAAGCAGTAGTTAAAATGAAAAAAAAAAAAAGTATGTACCACCTTCGGTCTATAGGTCGGTCGGTAGAAGTGTCACTGTGAAGGCCCAACATTAAAGCTTACAATTTTTTTAGCCCCCGCCGCTACTGCTGCACTACTTCCCCTGGTCTATGAACACCTGATGCGTATTAAACGATGGGCAATGATGTCTCTCTTAGAATGGTTTCGTATCGTTATGTAAAACGTCCCTGCATGAAACTGGGACCTACTACTTATTAGATACGGTCGCCAACAACGATGACGAGGCCAGCGAGGTTTGTTGTTCGGATTGTGTCCTATACAGGCGGGGTCCTGCCGAGGAGGAGCAGTTGGCGGCGAGCTGACGAGGACGATACCGCGTAATGGATGCACAACAGGGTCACTGACCGCGTAGAGAAGCGTACGCCGATAGGCGGCATGATGCCTGGCTAAAGGGGTTGTGTGCAATATGTGCCGGCGATTCTTAGCGGATGCAGTTTTGAATGAACCGTTACGCATCGCTGCCACTCAAGGATTTTACTATCACAGTTATGTAGAATAATCGTATGCGACGTTGAAAGCGTATATAGGAAATAAATTTCATTCTCGTCTGTCAGAAGGATCATCAATAAATAATCATTTTCTATTTTTCATGTAATATCAAGCTTTCATAAAAAGGATCTTTACAGTACGAACAGTGATCATTACGTTCGTAAGCGATATTTTCGAAGTTAAGCGGCTTTCAATAGAATGGTTAACGGCTGGTTAACGGCTGATCTGTCGTTCTCTTCTGGATAATCTCGATATCGTCCATACAAATCCTAGTAAGAAGGTGCTAGCGGAAACAACATAACAAAAATCAGACATCGGCATGGCCATGCTCGTGCCAACATCTGTCTGTTTATATTTCTGATTTGTTTTAATATTTTCAGATTGTTCATCCTAAATCGGACGAACAGCGTGAGGTGCTAGCAAAAGCCGTCAAGAATATACTTCTGTTCCGCTCACTTGATGCCTCTCAGATGCAGGAGGTAAGTAGCTTTTTTAATGCCCCCAAGTATCTGTCAAGCTTGCCGTTTTGCATAGGAAGTAGCTAAATAATGATAAGCTTTCCTGTAATTGGTTTTTAGGCCTCACGTTACGTTATTGTCATATCGTTGATCGCCAGAGTCTCGCCAGACCCTGGAACAGCATCCAGTGAGAAACAAATTTAGCTCGAGCTATAACGAAGACATCTTGTTTGCAACAATCATTAATACATCATCATTAGTGTTATTATCCATCACCGATTTTCAATTAACAGGTGCTTGATGCCATGTTCGAACGGAAGGTTGGTCCGAATGACATTGTCATCCAGCAAGGTGATGATGGTGACAACTTTTACGTTATACAGAGGTAAGTTATCAGTAAAGTCAGCTAACAGGTTTGAGTAGTCGGCGTAGGAAACTTCAGATGAAAGAATTCGATGTAGGCGACAGCGTTTGTGGTAGTGGGCCGGTGAAGGCCGGTATCAATACACTGAGCTGAGTTTTGGGGCTGCTGTTCAAAATCGTTGGTACGCCGTGTCATTGGGCAACACTTTATCTACGCTAGTTGTCTACCGGCGGCATTATCGGCTTGCGTCAAATGCTTTGTCCCCAGACTAAACTGAGTTAAACGTGTAGCCATGACACAGAAGGAAGCAAAAAAATGTTGTGTTCTAAGAAACCTTCTAAAACAATTAGTCGATGCCTAACACAAAAATTCCAAGATGAACGAATATGCGATTCAATTTTTAGAAGGTTAGACAAGAGCTAGAGCCCATAGAATAAATGGAAGCGGCATAATCAATATAAAAAAAAAAAAGGTAATTGTTTAGGCAGTGTTACCTCTAGATTTTATACACCTATGCAGAGGGTACAGGATGAGCATGGGTGAGCTGTAATGAGCCAGCTAGACAAGTAGCACGTATGATAGGGTAACGCGTGGCAAGTATCAACCAAGTTTACTGTTCTCAGAAATATATCATTTCAAAACAAAAAATGCTATTAGCAACAAGGGAAGGCTAGCACAATTCACTAAATATAGGCTCCACATCCGAAATTCAAACTGACAAAAACAGTTACTAAACAATAAACGAACTATGATAGAAGTTAGCGATAGAAGGTGAACTTGACTTGAAGCGGAATTTTTTTTTAAGAGACTGTTAAAAAGTGCCTACTGCCTATATATATATATGGCTGGAGCAATATCTGAACTGCTTTACTCTGTTTATTATACCAACGATTGCTCTGTTTATTTTTTGTTATCTCTCAGCAAAGAAAAACTCTTAAACACACAATAGTCACCGCTTTGAAGTTTTTTTCGATAAACTTACAACACTTGCATGTTACTGTCAATTCGAAATTCCACTGGTTTAGATCGTATGTCCAAATATCAGAATCTGGACGTCAAGCGTACTGTGCGAAGAAGTATATAAAAAGTATACAATAAATAGCTCATCTCGGTTAGAGCAACGATGGATACACTCCTTAACGTGTGGAAGCATACTGTAGGGACACACCGAATCTGACCGATTATGAAATTCTACGTAACGATTAACTTGCGTTGGCCTATAACAGGCCAATATATTAGAGAGCCACAGAGTGGAAACCTCTTTGCGTGATTGCCCATTTGTTGAGCTTGATACCTCCGTATGTCAAATCGAACGCGATAATCTAGCCAACGACGTTTTTAACCCAATTGTAAACTCGTTTATATTACAGGTCTTCCTTAGAAGTGTCTTGGGCTCATAGTAATCGAAAGGCCGTTAACAGGACATTTATAGAGGAATTCTACTTTAAAAATGAATACACAATGAAACAGATCCGATTAAACATGCCACACGGGTATTGGCTATTACATTTTTCCATTCTGAGAGTCTATTTATTACTCGAACTTGATCTGCGTCCAAAATTATTGCGAACTAATTGCGCCCGAGCTATTCGAGGTAGTAGCTATACGAAGTTCTCTTTCCGCATTTTCACCCACTACGAATCCTACTAACTGAATGCTTCGAAACGCTGAGAAGACTCGCGTGGACATGTAGCGAGCTGAATTACAGTCGAACTAGGACACGCTCTCACGCTGTCCTACGCAGCCTATACATGCCCCACGCAGCCTAATCCATCTCGTAATAAGAATTATAATGTAAGGGCAGTTCCTCAGAACATTATTTCGGACCTCAAATAAATGAAGAAGCGAAGTGCTACATTTACACTTAAACGTCCATATACACGGATAGCCAGCTAATAGAACATTATTTCTCGCATTTATTAGATTATAAAGTGCCTTGTTTTTTTTACTATGAAGTAAACTATTCTGAAGTGTGGCGGTAGCATCAAAGATACACGCGCAGATATGTACATACATTGAGGTAGCTATCTTTCGAGACATTCGAAGGCCTAACAACAGTATTGACCCTAGAAAGTGTAGCTGGAGAACAAACCGTTCTTGCCGTTCGTGGACAGATAACCAATGTTAAGACCAATTCCCAAGCTTGGAACTGTCGGTTTTTTGGTCGTGCGCCAGACCGGACTACAAGACGAGGCACGGTCAGGGGCCTCTTTTGAAGATCCTTTGTACGGCGCTCCCATTAGTTTCTCAAAGCAAGTGTTTGCGCTTGTTTTTTTCCATAATAGTCGGAAAGCAGACGACAAGTCTGCACCTGACCGTCTTCTACGCGCAAAGGCCTGTTCTGTACGCGTGGTTGTTCAGTTTGGGCCGTCATCGGTTGTAGAAGTCGACCGACGTGCAATAATGTAGGTACAGTAGGAGAATCCAGCAGGGAAAGACAAACTAGATCCTCGCGTGAGTTTGAAATAGTGCTTTCAACAGTCGCGCACAGGCGATAGGGGCCGGGAACTTAGGAGAATCGAATGTCCGCGTTCTCCCTCTGGTTTTTTAAAAGGAAAAGAGAGCGCACACGATACCGCGAATCGTTTCTTCCCTTCATTCTTCCTGCGTTACACATGTAAAAAAAATCGATATTGCTTTTGAAAGCCTGTGCGACAGTGGAGGTCGCTGCTGTTGCGGCCGTGTACATGAAAGTGACTCGTTACGGGTAGATTTTTTAGTTTGAAACGACAAGCTGACAGAGAGGCAAGGCTCTGCCAAGAAGTTTCGCAAATTTCCCAGGCCGGTGTGAGAGTTACTCGTGAGACGATGGCCACATAAAGAAGGAAAAAGCCAAGAGAAGAAAAATAAAGTCAAAAGTGACGGGGCAGGGAATCTGTTCAGTTGAGAACGACTGATTTTCCACGATCGGTGCATAATCCACAACGGTGACGCCAACACGAATCCATCTGGATATTTGGGCGGTAATGGAGTTGGCGATGATTCCAATGGTCGGGGCGGAAATGGGTATCTCGAGAAAACGCAAAATGTCACGATAACAAAAGAGAAATGAAAAACCTCTCTGTCGACAGTTGTTTCTACCGTCGGGAAGAGGAAATAATGTATTAGGATAAAATGACAAAAGTCCTGAGCTACTGCTTTCTCAGCGCAAGAGAATCGGACGACAAGTCAAATAGCTTTCTAACTACTAAAACGCTGCTATGTACGATGTATAGTAATGTAAGGCGTTATTTCGGCGCATAGATACCATGCTAATTCCCGATCCGTAGAGCTGTCACGTCCTATTATTGGATTTTTCTCACTGACGCTACTCGAACCGTTGACAAAGAGTCAGTCCCTAATAAACCAATTTAGGCAAGTCGTGAAATTTGTTGTGAGTTTATTACAGACACATTAAGTAGGAATAATTGTAAGTAATGAAGTAAGATACCATGTTCCATTAGTAGATAGAATGTAAGCTTAATTGTATCAAATAAACCGTTTAATAAAAAGTGAGCGACTTGTTGAAAACAGAATTGTTTGAATGCATATATGTGCAAAATGTGGATGTCATATTTTATTTACCCCTTCATGCATCCATGTGCGCCTCAGCAGATACCCAATGTCAGTGAAGATACAGTAATAGACAGCGGTCAGTCCGTCCCGCCCGCTTTGTATTGTCTATTCCTCCAGAGGGAGTCTCGTTTACTTGTCTTGTCGCTAATGGCATCATTGTTAATTCAGCAAGACCAAAAAGGCCCCTGCCATGTGTCAAAGTGTGTTCTGGAACACAAACAAACCAACATGTCAGCTAAGGGGAAAAATATCTGCAACCCTTTTTCGAAAGGACGGCACAAATTTGCGAACGTCGAGAGGGTGAACGCCACCATATTGGAGGCGCTAAAGGGATCATTACATTAATGGTTAATCGTTATCTATTTCTGTTGTTATTACTGTCGGTACCATCCCTATAGTTACTTACTCATGACACTGCGTTAGCTTTTCTCTATGATGCCTTTAGATTCAGTTAAAGCATCGCCGGATGCGGAAAGCCGCCCGATGAATCGACGGGATTGACTTGTTTGCTTGACCGGCACTGTTGTAAATGGCGCTCTAAGAATCAGTTAGGATACGGCTACAGAAAGTGGTATAGAATATACGCAAAACCTGAAAAGGAGGGCACATTTTGTATTTGACGATGACTATTAAGCAAACAACCGAAAGTAGAGGCTGCGCAAAAAGCCCACATTACATCTACACTGGATAAAAGCGACTTACAAATCAGCTATTTGAGTTATACATAACTAAGGAACAGTAGGAGCTAAGGTTTCCTAGCAATTTCCAGTGTCGATGTAAGTTCAAAATTAAATAACTACAAAAACAGTTATGAACGTTGAGCCATCTACGTATCAAAATGGTTTTTGTTTTAAGGGCTAAAATCTTTCAGCACTGATATGCTCCTTGCGGAGTATATTTTAAAAAACAAGTCCAAAGATACTTACTGATAAACGATAACTACGAAAACTGTTTTTAAACATGGCCTATATATATATATATATATATATATATATATATATATATATATCTCAAATGTCTTTAATGCATAGCGGCAAATGGCAAGTGATGGCGGTCTTGTCTAAATAACGCTTCTTTAATAAGGCTTTTAGATGATCAGAATAAACAAATACGGAACATATATATTTCGATGATATCGCTCAGCATAGAGGTGCTCATTAAATATACAATTATGTTGACTAAATACGTGTCCACTTCAATTCAATTGTTAACTCAATCACCGTTTGGTTCGTGACCTGATTCCATCCTTCAACACATCTTAACCCTGACGTACTTTCTGATGCCTGCTTGCCCTCTGGAAACCATCTACAATTCAAATCCTTGTCTCCATGCAGTTCTTACTCGGCTGTTGCATTACTTCATCGGTACTGCAGATTTTCATTATCTCCTGCCTTCAAGAGAACATCTCTAGAAAAAGTACTTGCTCATCAAACTGTACTCTTACCAGCGTTACGGCCTCTCGTAGAGGGCACCATCTACCTCTGTTTCTACTATTTACAATACAGCATGATATAAAGCTGGGCAATTTAGTTACACCAATTTGTCGACTGGAAATATTACGAAGGATAAAATTAGCGGGGCCTTTCTGTTTCATGCGTGTATGATCATGGCTTCCCAATATATAACAAAAAATAACTAGCGTTCCCGATAAAATTTCGAAGACACATATTGCATCAGCAGCGCTACGGCTCGAACTAGATTAGGAAGCTGGCAATTGTGTCCTGCTATTGGTAACCTTTGACCTTAACTAAGAATTGTCATTGATAACAGACAATCGGCAGCTATTTTGTCGTGACAGAACTAGCAGGCTGGACCGGGAACGCCGGGCTCGCTTCAGGACAAGGCTGTCTTTGGTTGATCGCTAGTGGCAGCTTCGAAACATGAGCCACGTTTCGTTGGGTTGGAAGATCTAAAAATTACCAGCAGACCCTCGTACCAGTAATAACTCTTTCTAGGACACACTGTATATGTGTTAAATGATCAGTCAATATAACTTAAAAACTTTGAACGAACGTATTTTTAGATAGTTTTAGTATAATTATTGGCTAAGTTTCGCAAAGAGAAAAGCTAGTCCGAGCTAGTAGATCGAGCTAAAGTTTCGTATGAATAAGTTGCTTCAAAAGGAACATGGTTTAATTTTCGCGCTTACACAACATGTTGAGGTTTCTCTTTGAGCTGAAAAGCAATGTATGTGGGTACATTGCAGGTTTAGAAAAGGGCCTTTAATTACATATTTGCCTTAGCACAATATACAAAGTGAGTCAAAAGCCCCTGAAGAGTTGGAATGACCACATTTAACATTTGTTATTGCCATAAACAGCAAAATCAACTGTGAAACACATCTGTAATAGGAACAGTTAATATATATTCTTGTAATACTATGTTAGAACGCTAAAAGTTAGTATACGTCTATGAAATTGAATGACTTCAATAAAATTAGCTGACCTAGAATGATGATTTTTAATGCGTGTCAACGGTATTTTCTTCTATCTCGTACACATTTATCCCATTTACATTGCCGTAGGTAATTATTATCTATGGCTCCTTGAAATAAATCAATTGTAGAATACGCTTGCCGTCCAGTTGCCCTGTTTAGAGCATGGCAAGCCCCGTAGTTACACAGATTTGAATCAGAAGAACAAACGAGTTGAAGGCAACGTTGGATATTTTTTTGCTCATGTCAGGAAATAATTGGAACATGGCAAATAGACCGGCGTTGTCATCAGGTAACCGGACCGCGTCCCAAGGGTCTCGTGATGAGCTCGACACTGCGGACATTTATTGCTCCGTTTTCGGTGATTATCTTATAGTAGCGAGTACTACTAATACCTTACGCCCGAACCTACTCGAAACTGTTACCCGACTCCATTTGTACTCAGTTTCCACAACTGCCGTATTCCCTGCCAGACGTTAAATATCAAATACCAGTTTTAGCCCTCAGTAACAGAGCACTCAAACTCTAAGCTTTGCCTTCGTGAAAAGCCTCTTCGATTGCAAGTATGCGGCGTTGTCCTTTAGGTCCAAACATCTGGTCACCTCCTAACTAACTTCCAACATCCCGACCTTCGTTTCTGAAGCGGTTTGTGCTTTCGGTGAAGGCCTTTTTGCCTAATGTCTTCATCACTCTTCGACAAACTTCGGCAACATTGCGGCTTTCGATAAATGAAGACTTGATAACTGAGCGACGATTTTCAACGTAATCAATTTCTCCTGGAGTAGACTCAGCCAATTTTCTCCTACGAGTTTTCGCAGACAGTAACCCGTAATTCCAAAAATCATTTAATTTCAAGGACGGTCGGATTCGGTTAGAACAGCTTAATATTAGCCAGTGTTGACTAACTTCACCTTCACTGCGATGATCAAGTGGTATATTAACGCGGTGGATTCTACGTTGTACGAAGGGCGTGGTGCTTCGCCTTCGTCCTGTTTAATCTGGTTTGAAGTTTATTATTATGAATGCCCTTGTTAATGATGTTGCATTTATTACAGCAAGGATACATAATGATGTCAATCGGATCCGAGATCATACAACATTGATCATATTGCACACGAATAATAAAACCTAATAAAGATATTTTGAGTGGATGTCTTTTATGTGGAAGATGCTCCACAGGTCACCGTCCACTAGCTATTGGCTAGGAATTGTTAGAGACAAATTTTCAGATGTCGTATTGCCTCTATATATTATATCAAAATAAGTGTCTAACCTCTATCTATGTACACCTGAACCATTGCGATTGTGTTATAATTTCAGCGGCTTGTACAACATCTTCGTGAAAAATTCGTTGACAGGTGAGAACGTCAATGTTGGAAAATATGATAACCATGGCTCGTTCGGCGAGCTATCGTTGTTATACAATCAGCCTAGGGCGGCGACGATCCAAGCGACAACGGAGGGGTCTCTCTGGGCTATGGTGAGTAACTTGTTTCGTTCTATATAGTATCGCGTCTGGACCGGCTGTTTCGCGCCCCACCCGACGAATATGACAAGCAACAACAGTGTCCAATTGTATCTCCGTTTTTGAAAATCTTCGCTTTTATGAAACTGCCATAGCAGCCAACGGTAGAGTTTCGGCACTTCCAGTATGTACATACATGTATATATTGGCCAGGTCTACAATGTTGGCGGGTTGTTTTTTTCGCAGCTTAGTTTGCCTACGTACGTATGTGTGATTTGAGGAAATTCGTGCGTTCAACTATTGCGTGGGACTAATTTGAATCCATGCTTGTGTGCAAATTTCTCGTCTCGAATAAGGACAAGTATGTGCGGATACATCTAACGTTAAGACCCCATTTGGTCTGCCGTATGCAATGGATTTTTTTTAAAACATTTTACCTTCTTTTACAGCTATAAGAAGCTCTATTATTAGTGAAGAACTAACCATTTATTGGTCGTCCACATAAATGCATTCGCACAGTCTTCCATTCGTGTTGACTTCAATCGAATCCACTTGATTGACTTCAATCGAACAATACTTTTATATGCCAAAAGTGACTATAGTGAGTAGATATTTGGTACGTTCAGGCCATTCTGCAATCAAGGTTTGTTCATTATCCTAACGTCAGGTCGTAAGTGATAATTCCCAGCTGCTGTTGTGCGGCTTCTGCATCTGTTTGCTTGAAATGGAATGAGCGAACATTCACAATTAACCAAAGCCAAAAGATCAGCTGGCACCCATCCCGTTCTTGATGCGAACGACCGGCTAGCTGGCGTCCGTAACATAAGAGGAATCCGTTCATGCCGAGACGTTCGATCGCGCGTGAAGCACAAAACCGATTATGCTGCCGAAATTAGCCCCCCTTCCTGCCTTAATCAGCTAATATAGCCAGAAAAGTACCTCTATTTTGTTCATATCCTTAACCGGTGAGACAATCATCGAGGGCGGGGCGGGGGGTATTTTGAAAAGAACCCTGTGTTCATATATCCCACTGTGCGTATTTCAAATATACTGCTGTGTTCGGGCATGGCGTACATTCGGTTGATCCTATCTTGAATCAATTCTGTCTACTGTAGTTATGATTACACTTCCATTATCCTACAGAAATTTCGGATTAATTGGTGATGCTGATATCTAGGCTGAGAGGTGTTTATCGCGCAGACTGTCTAATCGTAAGTCCACGAAAACCAGCTAGAAACAAGTTGCTATATTAGCTTGGGTCGAACAAGTGGACGCAATCGAAAACACACAAAAACAAACCTGTTTTTGCGGATCTGCCTTGAGGCTCGCTGCTGGACTTCACCGGTTGGGGTTTTGTCAGTGTGATTGTGTATTCAGTAAATAACGCTGTTCTTACGCATAGAAAGGTTTCCTGCGCAACGTCTTAACGAAAGACAGACCTAAGCTGTGGCAAGCTATCTTCAATCAGAAAAGAGCCAACAAGGGCTTTCCTTAATGAAGCCTGCAATGTGCCTGCACAGATGATGAAAGCAGGTGAGAAACTGTACTGGGTATTCCTGAATTTTTTCGCGTTACACCATGATCGGGAACGATGGCAGCCATATATATTGTGATTCGGTATAATGTCGTATATTGATACTATTTTTGTATGTATATAGTAAAATGAAGCGCTCGGTATGAGTTCAAGGACTCTCTGCCGGGATCCTTTTATCGCGGTCTGCAATTTGCTCTACCGACTTTAATTCGCTAACGAGAATAGGCAATACTCGTATTCGTCGTTGATATCGGTTCAATTGTTGCTTTGTTTTATGTTTAAGTGATCCACTATAGAAAAGGTCATATAATGGCAGTCGCGCATTTTCGTAGAATAAGTTCAATATGGGTAATGCAAACGGACCTGATGGAAAAATCCCCCGAACGTCATTTAAAGCGCTCAGATCGCAAGAGCAGAAAAATGGCAGACTCTTTTTTCATACTTCTGCAAAAACTCTGTGATTATCGTGGGAGAACGTTGTACTAGAGATTAAAGTGGTAGCAGATTACATAATTTTTTATAGCAACCGTTACAAATATCCACACCGATTTCTTATACTAAGAAATCGGCGTGAATATTTAAATAAAGTAGGAAACTCTGAGAGCCATTGTTTCAACGTAATACGCCCGTTTCAGTTAGATCTAGTAATATTTTAATTTGATAGGACCCATGTTACTGATGCACTTTCCGTGATTTTGCAGTGGTAACGTGTTCGTCTATTAATCGGAGCGATACGGAGGTGGTCTGGAATTTAATCTGGAGGTGTAGACACACACGCTTTGATTCTACAGTGAAAATTCGAATAGTAACAGGAAGAGGGGCGATGAATATAGTCATAATCCCTTCTCTGCTTAGTCGCCCCAGATTGCCTCCGTATTAAGCCCCTTATCTGGATAGGTCCTCGAAACAGTGTTGAAATAATGGTATCAGACCGACCGTACAGGGGACAGTTGAAAGTTAGCTATGGAAAAATGTTTTTATGTCGATGATGATACCACGTTTTCATTTGAAAGGCTCACCTCTACAAACATTCATAAAAATTAATAAAATAATTTATAGAATCAGAAAGTAGGATAAGTCACACGCACTTACAACTGCAGTTATATATCAATCGAGGTGAGCAACACTAGATACACTAGAACAGGTAGAACAACACTAGAGAGAGTTCAGATGCTATCGACATCAGACACTTCTAATCAAAATTTTTTTAATTCTTGGGTAATCGCTTTACCCGCTTGTCAAACGACTGTGCTCGGGAGATCAGCGGGATATATCACCGGTTCCGCCGCTATTGTCGACTAAGGAGCTCTCTCACGAATCAGCAAATGGCCTCCTTGAACTGTGGAGTGGTCTGTCGTTCAGTGGGACATAAGTGGCGGTTTCAGCCAACTTTTTCCTATCTCGAAAGGACGTCTCTGTATGGTCTGTGACTATAATAGATCCAACATCCTTTAGCTACAGTGGACTCCCATATAAGATATATATACAGTTCGCCTTTTTGCACAGGAATACTTTGGCAATAATTGTCGAAGGACAACTCGCAGCGTACAAGATAATAAAGCGACCCGAACTCGTCCATAGCTGGCGTTAAAAATCGCTTCGTTTCAACCGTACATGTGTTTACCGTGGGTAGCTTGTACCGTCCCGGCTCTCACGACTGATGGCATAGTTTAACACTAGTAGCTAGAGCGCAGACTTGCACAGTAACTAGTGCTTTCACCGATATCTTTCTTCGCAAGAAAAGCTAATCTCGGGTAACGAGTTCTATCTATACAAACGAAGTGAGGACCAGCAGTGCGTGCCTAGGTTCATGTATAAGCGATGAACGAGACCGTCGCAGAGTGGCCAAATAACCTGTCGTCTGCTTTGAGATCGGGTCGGCTCTACGAACAAAAGGAGCTTTATTTGGTGCAGTGAACTCGTCGTCTTCACCGTAATGCAGTTACTCGCCGAGCGGAACATTCGAGGAAATGTGAAACGTCAAAGCTGTGGAAAAGTCCCATGTTTTGGATTATGCAAAAACAACTATTATTAGTAATTACTCTTTAACGTAAATTTCAAGCTGAAGTTGTAAGTTAGGGCATGTAAATTAAAAATACACTTCTTCTTAATCAATTCATTGTTTCTATAACTGGATCTAAACGTAATTTGAATGGAACTTTGCACATATGCTAGATGTGTCATTCCTAACTGCCATGTGTACTCACCATCCACCGCGTTCACATTCTCCATACTAGACCTAAACCACTTATGGGTTGTTTCTGAAAATTTTTAATCTGAAGAAAAGCTTCCTGAAAATAATCGCGCGTCAACCAATACTGGTAAGTATTGCTCACTCTGTGCAAAAAAAGTAGAGTGGAATTAAATTATCAGGCGGACAGCAGGCCAAAAAAATGAAAAAACTGACCACTAAAGCTTTTCTGAACGAGCTAAACGGACACTAATGAACTTTTCTTTCAGACAATTTGCAACAAAAACTAATAATGGATTTTTGAGCCGTTGGTGTACACTTTCGAGTCCTTGAATTCTAAACCCTATTAGGAATCTTCGCGTTTATTTTGTGCTAGTCTTTCTGAGATTTTCAGAAGCTGCAAAAAACTGCCAATAAAGTAGACTGTCAGTTGCGAGCAAAGAATAAACCTTTAGTTTTTGTAGGAGTTTGTCCAGCGCTGAAAGACTAGATCCTAACCCTCGCCAGAACTTGAAAAAAGCCGTGTTGTTATTCGCCACAACGAGCCTGCTCAAGGAAGAGCTGGCTTTTGTATAGTATTAAAAAGATCGGATGAACGCATTCATCCGCTGTCTTTCCGCCAAAGATTCCTCGATTTCAAGGCACGACTTCGCATATAATATCCAAATAGGATATTAATTATAATGGATATTTTATATTGTCTGTTACGTCGTCTATGTTGCTTGGATTTGTTCCATTTGATCGGTAACTCCTTACTAATGCAGCCATCTTGCGCCATCACGAACAAGATAGTATTTCTGCTCAGCTCTAGTCCATGCATATGTATCTATAAGTCGTTCAGTCTAATCCCTTAAGGCCTAGGTGTCCTCGCTGCCCCTGATCTATGCGTAATCTAGTTTTCTGATTAAATCGTAGATGCCATGTAGATTACTCTTCAGGTATGCCTTAGTTACCCTTAAGAGTACCAATGAGAAAGATGCAATAGATTCAGCAATGTCAAAAATTCGTTCCCTCAAAGCGTACCCTGCCATCTACGTCCAACGAAGACTGGCTATTGATACTCGTGTTGGTGTCAATTAAACTTTCACAGCACGAATCTGAAGGGCGACTGGCTTCTATAATCGGGTATATGTGCGCTTCATATGAATTTTTCTAAATTGATCAGATTAAGTTCGTCTTTGAGTCACGGTATCTTCGCTCATTGTTATCGGAAGTTGCATTGAGAATAGTTTTCGGCGTCATCGGCTTACAGAAAGCAATCCAATGTGAGCTTTTTAGAGTGGGAAACTTTTGTTGTGAGTACCGGCGGTAGGTAGAGATAGCTTGCTTCATCTTGAGAATACCTGCAATTGTGAATTGTGAACGATAGGCTTGTGTAAAAGTCGTTGTCTTTTCCTAACCAATGGTAAAATAGTTTTACCGCGATACATAGCGGCACAAATTATGTGCCGCTTATGTGTCGCGGTACGTGGTCATACCAGCTAAAATACGTTATCTCAATTAACTCTTATTGGTTGCAAGGGTCCGTTGTCGAGTCTGCACTAGATAAATTGCCGTTACATGATTGGGTATAGCAATAATTTGTGATACCTTTTGTGTGTGTACTATATGAATCGACCAATCAATATATATGCTGCATGCAAAAACTATATGCCGCTCCTACAACCGTTGAGTGTCACTCGATTCGTGTAATGCATAACCTGATGGATCAATAGCAGAATGATCATAGGTATTGTTATAGTCATAGTTCTTATTCGTTTATAGCGTCATGAACCAGGACACAAAATGACGACCAGCACAGCCGAGGCATGATTGTATTGGTCTATATATACACTTTTGATATCCTGTTATCGGCCCTCTGTTGTCGTAACGGAGGGACAGAAATAGACGTACTCCTATTGCGACAGATATTATCCTCTATCCTAAAAAAAATCCACTATACAATACAACTTGCGAAAAATAAATAGCGGTATTCGATCTCACCCTAGAACATGAGAGTAAGTGACAGTCAGTTGTCAAAATCTTAATGTGCTTATACAGAACCTGTTGTTAGTTTGAGATGTTTCGTCAATGTTAAGTGAAAAGTGCAGACAGCCAAGTCCATATAGCGGGTGTAGTTCTGGAATGAACCTATCGGAGCCGAGGGCAAAAGCTTAATTTTACAAACCCAGTACCGTACGCTTACGACGCCTTTGAAGTCGTAAAAAAAAAACGAATATTTCGAGCCGTTCATTTGCTTCGAAATGTGTCGTGCTCGTATTACGCGCATCAATATAGGAACATATGTTAACCCTCCTATGCATTTTCTGTGCTATTTGCATGTTATCCACAAAAATCCCTATATTACAGAACCGTCAAACATTTCGTCGAATCGTGTTGAAAAGTGCCCATAAAAAACGTATCGAGTACGAGAAGTTGTTGGAATCTGTTCCGATGCTGAGTTCGCTTAACGCCTATGAACGTATGAATTTATGTGACGCCCTCATGCCAAAAGACTTCCACGACGACGAATGTATAATCAAGCAGGGCGATGTATCAGACGGTATGTAACATGACATAGGATTTGTATGTAGAAGCACGCAGTATGATATGTGGATCTAACCTGAGATAGTGTAAACTTAATAATATATTTATTTTGCTTTCTGATCAGAAATGCTGATATAATTTTACTGCTCAGTAAGAGAATTTGAATTATTGCTAAGTAACGTAGGGATAAATGGACTTCTAAACAGTGTAAACTTTAAATAAAAAGGCTAATTTTACGGAAGTACTAAAGATTCCCTTCAAATATAACGGCTGTTTATACCTAAGCTCTATTGCGGAACATACAGCTTGGAATATACTGATGATCGCGATTTGCCGGATTGACCATACTGAGGCAAATGCTTTACCAGTCATAACCAACAGATACTCAAGTGAGCGTAGCAAACATGAGAGCACACTATTGCCCTGGCTTCCTTTAAGGGAATAGCAGATCTCACTTTACTAACTAATTTTCCACGTGTCAAGGGTCAATCTCCGCCCGTAAGATTGATTGGTGTGCGACCCCCCCCCCCCTTCAGCGTATGCCCTATCAAATACAACCTAAATATGTGTATAATTAAAGTTGCGTAGAAATTCTGCGACTAAATTGGTAGCTTTATCGAGAAAAGTACCTTTTTTTTCTGTCAGGTTAACCAAGAGTTGTCCAACCATGCGATGACGCAAAATGCAGGTTGGATTACCGAATGGTAATTTATGTCACAGGCTTACATGAAGTGTGATCATTAGCAAGTAAACGTTACAATGCCGTACTTGTGCTCCAGCGACTAAAATGGTTTGTCATTAATGTATCATCCGGGTTTCATCATAAGACCGATTTTACGTAGATTATATATAGTGAAAATTACGCCGAGACTTCACAAACACCACACCTACCAAAATATTATTATATAGTTATACTCTTAACTGCCATGGACCTATAGACCCCTTCCACTACCTATATAAATTATAATATTAGGCTAATTTATAGTCGATATTGCCCGAATTAAATTCGATGAATCTTCTAGCTCTACTTCAAGTAAGACAAGCAGAACAGCATTTTCTAGTTGCAATTACAGGCGCGGTACCATACATATATACATGTATACATATATATATTCAGCTATGGATATAGACGATAATAGTCGGGAATCGGTCAGCAGGACGTAACTTTTTGCCAAACTTTTTTGGCCTTACCCATAGACATCCGGAACCTTTTAGGCGCACCTTAAGTACCTGCGCAGGTTCGCATTCAATTCGAAGAATTGTTGTATGCTGCGATTGTATTATTCAGCCCCATGACTTGTGACTGATAGTTGGTTCGACCCAAGTGATCTAGGCTCACGGGCCCGTTAGACCTGTATTTGTACTCCCGTTTCTGACGACAAAGAGGTTCTGGCATACTGTGACACACGACACAGCAATGATATCAATAGCTCTGTTATTCCTGTCCTGCATTCACCCTGCACGCTCGATGCGCCAGTGTCATTCTGTCTAAAAATGAAGAAAACAATTCGCTGTTGAGAATATATAGTGTATGACATCCAAGACCACTTGACTAGCATTTTGTCATGTAAAAGAAAATTGATATCTTGTGTCTAAGTACCAGGCCATTAAGACTCTGCAATGCCCGTAAGCTAACTGGTCTTATGTATCATGACCGAACTGTAGAAAATGCTTTTCGTGTTTGGTAATGAAATGTGTTGACTTGAAGGTTGTAAACGGTAGAAATTATTTGAAAGAAGTTGAAGTGATACTAAATCACATATTAAGGCCTATTATATTATTGAATAGTTTATGGCTTATGGTAATACTAATAATTTTCCTTCAGATTTTTGCTTCTTTTAATATTTTTATAGTAATTTTACTCCACTTACTTAGACAGATCGTCAACCTTTCACATTGTGTTGGTACGTGATATTATTATTATCACCACCTACACGATCTCGATCAACTTCGTCAACCCAACGAGAGGATTACTTCGTGTCTTAATGTGCATCTTCTTCCTTTTGGGTCTTATGCGATACGGCTGGCTGAATGGGGATTTGCAGGTATGTACTTTCTCGAAGATGGGACAGTTCGATGCTGTTTCCGCTCTGACGGAGGCGAACAAGAGGTCTCCCGAATGACGAAGGGCAGCTACTTTGGCGAATTGGGTCTCATCACTCACAAACCCCGCGCAGTTTCCGTCTACGCCGTTGGTGACGTGAGAGTTGCCTGTGAGTATTTTCCGTGAAAATAGTTAGTCAGCTGCTTTTTTTTTCCTCACAATGGACTTACCGTCCTCTCGACCTTTCAGCTATTCGGTAGATGCGCGTGCATGTACTTCGAAGAACACAACAGCGCTTGTATGTTGGACATGCGCAGAAGTTCATCAACTCACCGTATGAATACCTTCTGTCATTCATGCAATAGGTAGTTGGATTGCATTTATATATAAACATGCAGTTTTCGCCTGAACTACGGTGTGCCTTTATTCAGCTGTTGTCAGGACCATGATTAACGTTCTGGCGTCGAGCGTGAACAATTCGTATTCATTGTAGCTATAAATAAGGGAACATGTTTATGGTAAATTGAAGACCGACGCATCCGTTACGGGAGAACACATAATTTAAGATGATTTTCTATCTCCGCTTGAGCACAGCGCCATATTTGCTGATCTATAATGGCCTAAAATGTCCTAGCGGTGATAAAATACATATAAAAACACGTCCCAAGCCTAGCTATTTTGCGATAGAAAGCTACACCAAGACTTACACTTATGGGGCATTTGATAAATTCGGTATCTACATTAAGAAGACTGTTGTGTCGCTTTATTGAGTTAGTTTGTTCAGTAGCATTAAACATAGCCTGAAGCGATTAAAGGTCAACAAAGTCTGGCGCCATCCCTATAGAACGTAACAATAATTGCGCGTGTAATTTTTTCAAATAATGTGTGAACGCTTTCGCAGGACGTTCAATTTTCGGTAGGACGTAGTTCTTTTCTCATGTCTGTGGCCTCACCTGCTTACACCATCAGACTAATTTTAAACGTTTGTTTTTAATTCTCAAGTGAAGCTACCAAACAGCTGGATGGCGTAAATAGCTTCCCGGTTCTTTTTTATTTATGTCGTGTTTAGCGAGAATGATTAAGCCAGTGTACCAAGTATCCTCTGTTCAAGCGGCACTCTAAAAGTATCTTAACAAGTGTAGTATCGTTTGTTGGCAGATGAAAAGCGTGTCGGCCGATGTAGTTATATATCTTATTACTGTTTTCCGTAATTGTAGTAGTTCTTTTACTTCTTATCAAAACTAATTCTGACATTCAGCTTCTTCAACTGAATTGTTCATTTTAAGCCAGAACTTCTCCCATTGTTCCCATTGTATCAAAATGTATGTTCCGTTAGATGAACGTTCTCATATTTGACTATAGCAATGGGCAGCAATCCTTGTTTGACTTGATCTAATTTTTCGATCATTGTTTGCCTATTTCAAGGACCATATAATAATGCTTTAATATATAATAATAATAATAATAGTAATAATGCAGTTAACGAAGCTGGCGGCGAACTTAAATTGTAGTATTTAATGCTTTCGATGTTTTTGCAACGGTGCTTCTATAATATTACATATTGCTAATTGTCTAGCAGATTACAAATTTTAGCGTACACGTATCCGATTTTTTAACCGTATTGCCAACGTTTGCATTCGCTTTCTACAGTTCTATCATTAGGAAAACGTGAAATAGTTACGTTCTTAAAGATCGTTTCTCGTTTGACTTGATCGCAGCTGGCAGTGGTATACTCAAATACTATACAGGCAGTCAGCGATTTGACGTTTACTGCACTCTACTTATTATTGTTCCGTCTAGAGATAGCAATATTATCAATGGCATAATTTTTTAGAAAATTATTAACTTATTATTTTCTTTAAAAGAAACTTATAGCACTCCCCAAAAGGAATAGTGCATTTTTCCCACTTTGATCTTCTTTATTTAAGTATTACTAACTATATGATGTACTCTTGTTTTTGCCCGATTTCTGTGCGTCCTGACCAACTGTGAATGTTTTCGCCTAAAGTCCTTGACGTCGAGGCCTTTGAGCGTCTGCTAGGCAATTGCGTTGAGATCATGAAGCGCAACATCACCCACTACGAAGAGCAGCTCGTACGAATCTTCGGCTCGACCCAGATATCCGACTTACGATAGACTGATGAAACGACTCACGTCCATTGAGCTTGGCTTCATACCTCGCAATTATGGTGGGCCGCAGTCAAACAGCTCTTTCGATATCTTCGCCCTGTTCTGCCTCCAACCGGCGGCAATCACAACATTCAAGAAAGCGATAAATATCAGTAGAGAGGAAAAACAGCGTCTGTACTTTGTGCGATAATTACAACAGTTTCAATATATCTGTTGGCTGTATGCCAATAGTCTGTCGAAATTTTGCGGCGCCGGTTGGCAAAAAACTAAGAAGAGAAGCTATTTTATCGTACAAGGTACACCGTGCTATACGAGCTTGTCGACAGTCGAATATCACTACAGGCTTTGTGGGTCTTTTAAGAGCATGTCAAGTCAACGTTACCAACTACGGGCATCTGAAACGGCGACCCTGGCAGAAATGCGAAAGTGTACGCACGTTCGGTGTCAATCAGTACCCGATAAAAGACACTCCGTGTAATTATCACAGATATCATCTTTTCAGTGTCAAGTCTTGTAACTAAAACAGATGGAACTGTATGACATTGCGTTGGCATAAAGAGAATGAGGCAAAAAAGGCCAAAAATTATTCGTGGACAGATGACACTATACAATATATCATTAACAGCGGCAAGAACAGCGAAGACGCTGACGACGGACGCATGAATGATGAAGTAGATTGAATAATAATAGTACTGCTATACACTGACAATTATACAGGTCCGACAATGCACAGTACGGAAATGATTATAGGTGACGTTGGTATCTGTGACGACTTTGTCGCTCATCTTTAATGCTGCCCCCGGACCTGGAACACTGACCATATGATATGTATGAAAAATATAGATATTTAGTCTAGATATTTGTCAATGTAGAATGAATGATTTCGAAAAAAAAAAAAAAAAAAACACTACACTACGCCCGGTCACGCTGTCCGCTTCGGTCTGAGTTGACTTATACCGTTTGTAGTCGCACCAAATCTTAACAGAGCAAAAATATTTCTAACGATTGTAACTGTCAGTACTACAAAACGGAAGTGGTAAAACAAGAAAAAAAAAAAGTATAAATCATTAATTCCGCCTGTTGACGCGCGACCAGACAATGGCATGGATTTCATATGTATTCTTTTGTAATTATTCGGGCGCTACCTCGTCTTACATTATACATGGGCCGGTGGAGTCGATCACAAATCATGATTCACCGTTATGATAGAACGCCGGCGTACATACTACAAGCAGTTGTTTGGCACTGGGATACAACAAAAAAACAGAAGAGAGTTCTCTGGTAATAAAGCAGGTGATTTAGCGAATGAAATTCGTCAGCTCGGACCGAAGCAAAGGGTAAACAATGATCGTAGAAGCAGACGCTCTAACGAGGTCGGCAATGATTATACGTGCAGCGGATTTATTTTGGGTTTAATTGTACTGAGAATTGAAACACAACTTCTACGAATGTCACGATAATTATTATTAGTTGATAAGCGAACTGATATATGGAGCAGGAAATAGGGAAACCGTAATAAAACCGACTCCAAAATTACAAATAGAAGGACAGCTGGAAGTAGAACTGAGATAAATGCTAAGCCGAAGGTTTCGAGCACCGGACAACTAGGACATATACTGAAGATGAATGCAGAGCGCAAAAAGAAAACAAAGAGGAGTGGAGACAATGAGGACGCATATTCGGTAACGTATGTGAATAGAGGAATTGTTTGAAATCATACGCAGTGGCAAGCATAAGGCAAATTATTAACTGTGTGATATTTACGCAATCATTAAATATTGATAAACACATGCATAACAAGCAAGAGCAGCAAATGGATGATTGTTTAGCTGTCCGCATGAAAAAAAAATTACTGAAAATACATAAGGAAAAGTTGATAATAATAAGTATATTGACTGCAACAACAATGATAAGAACGCTATCAACAATAACATTAATAGTAAATATGTGTGTCCGTATGTTTGTTTATGTTGTGCGTCTCCAGATATGTTTGAATCTAAACAGCGTACAAAGGCCCGTATGTATGTAATAACACCAAACACGCCTGCCACCACCATTAATAAAGTGGTGTGTAGCGGTAATGAAGAATAATAACAATAATATTAATAACAACAATAATAATAATAACTATTATAGTAATAAAAAAGGTAAATGTGTGAATTCTTGGCGGTTGATATGGATCAGAACAGACCCAACGGTAGAGGCAGCAAACGCATTCAAGGGCACATAACAACAATAATAACAACAACAACAGCAAAATGACAAACTGCAGAAGGGTGTGGAACAACCAAGCGGACATAAGTGATCTACAGTAGAGAATTTTATGGCTTGCCACAAAGTTCATTTTCTTAATAGCAGAAAAATCGACAGTTGAATTGAGGAGGGTATAGGCAGAAACGAAAAAGCAGCGCTTAAGAATCTGCTGAAACTTCAAAAATCAAATAGATGTTGTCGATCGAGATGAAAAACTAGGGGCCGGACTCAGAAAAGCAAACAGGTTATATAGGCATAGAAACTACTAATATTGACATATATAGTTCTCCAGCACGTATCGGTGGTATCGCACTGTCTAGGCGTGTTGTTACTATTGCTAGATACTAAATAGCGGTATGTTTTTTCAATAACAGTTTCTAAAATTGTAGTAACAATAACTACTAATCCACCAATACTGATCAAACTAATTATGCCCAAGGCAAGTAAAATGAGAGACACTGGTGGCGCGAAATTTGAATTTGAAATTGATGCTAAAATGGCGACGACGGCCGACCAACGGGCCAAAAAACGAATGTTACGGGCGATAGCCACGTGCAAGGAAGATGCGTATAATTGCCACCGAACGGTATCGTTTCGCCATTTATTACAGTACTACTTATATAATCAGTATAGTTTTATCAAAGAGCATCATGTAATGATGCCGAGTAAAGTGATTAACTAAAAACTTTATAAATGGAATATTATCATATACATACTACATATACATATATATATATATATATATATATATATATATACATGTGTGTGTGTATGTGTGTGTGTGTATATGGAAATCTTACCAAAAAACGACGCGGTGTTGTGTGGACGTTGGTGCGTGAGCGTTTCGGTGTAATTGAACAAGCGAAAAGTTTCTGTGAAACAGAATTAGGGAGGGACAAAAAAAGGAAGCGGATGTGCACTAAAGGAAGGTAAAAATATAGAGATATCTTGCCCCGGCAAACAAACAAAAAAAGACATAGAGAAGTTTGACAAGGCATACAGAACGGCAACGCATAATAATTAATAGATACAACAACAATAAAGAAGATAATATATATTAAAATCTATAAATACACTGCTATATATTCGTATACAAGATGGAGGTCACAATACATTTAATTACATTAAGGGAGAAAAATAACATTGACTTTATTATTATTAGGAAAACATTCTCTTTAACTAGAAACAGGCAAGGAGCCCGATAAGGACTAGGGCGTTATGAAACACCATGACGGCAGAAAGAAATAACCAAAGCTGAATTTAAAATTTCTAATGACTTTTGATATAGGGATTGCAGTTCGGATATGATTCTTATTCCGCTTGTCAATTAGGACATTTGTAAATTTAATATTATAGCAACAGTCACCAAAATAACTGAGTGGAGTTTTAATTTGAATGCAACAGGTCCTCGCGCCCATGAATCGTCAAAGGTATGAAGCCAGTATAACCGAGCGTGGAAACTTCATTGGGCAGGTAGTTCGTACGCAATAACAGGGATACGTAAGAGGGAAAATACTCGCGTCCAAGTAATATTGATCAAATATGTAGATCTAGCAGAAACTGGAAGTGCTATACTTTACATACATGAACATCCATTTACAATTACAGACGTAAATTTCTACCTTTACTAATATTAATATCTGCATGGTACATATGTACAAATAATAGCAGAATTAGAGAAAGAATAGGGTGATTAGTATTTTTTTAATTTATATGGGGAACTTGTACACACATGAACACATGGTAGTTTCAATGACTGTGTGTCCGATAGGAATTGTTAAAAAGTGACCGCTATCCTGGATTGAGTTAGAATTTTCAATGAACAAATAATTCCTCATCGAATCCGTACATTCATATAAATATACATGAAACAACACACATCTGTATGGATATATATAAACAAAAAGAAGGCCCTCCAGTTAGCGCAAACAAACATAACACACTAATAACACAAATTGAGTATTGATAATGGAGTTAGTATAAACCTGGTAACAAAATCGAAAGTGATAAGGTAAAGACAGAAAACACGAAATGAAATCAATAACAGATACAGGTAATGATGAGATCATGAAAACAAAAGCGAAATCTAATAACCCGTGATACCAAACGACAGCTGATGGTATTAAGAACATGATCATCGATAATGGAAACTAAGGAGGAAACAAATCAAGAACAAAACACATCTAATAAAATTCATGCTTAATTTTACGACGCGTGTATTGTAGTAGAAAAAACACACTGAATGAAAGTTTAGAAATGTGTATATATATATATATATATATATATATATGTGGAAAGGGAAAGAACTAAAAGCTCACATCAGTGCCATGCTAACAATTGCAGAGGCAGAACTCTTTAAGAATTGAAAAGATAAGTCCTTTATGAGTAAACAAAAATTCCGCCAGTATGAATCTAATAAACATACGCATTTACACAGTTTGATAAATTACGAAAGATCACCGATAGAAAAGCCTCAGCTTTAAACATCCAATCGTCCAACGGTTGAAAAAACTTTCATAGCCAACAGCTGAAAATAACATCACTCCAATGATCGAAATGTTGGCAGTAGGGCACAAAACGATTAAGGCGGCTTACACGATAGGACGCGTAAGCATGAAATACAGGCCAAATATGCCTAATTGTCTGTTACGTATAAGTCATAACTCTGTGTGTAACATGAGCAACTGTGTCTCTCAACAAAATGGAACTTCGTATTTAGTCAATGAAATACAGTTATTGATGATCCCGATAATTATGATGTAACACCATTCAGCGTTGTTATTCATGGACGGTAGATAGGTGCACGAAAACTAAGTGAGGTTTCAGGAGAGATTCCGAGAGAAATCGGAGAAGAACAGAAGCCGAAGACATTATAAGGCGTAGCCTCCCGGCAACAGCTAAGACGGTACCTAGGGTGGTATACTAAGCTAGTTTGTCACAGATCGCGTATTCGGATTTGAACATTTGCCTAACGGCCGCAAGTGTCCTATAAAGAAAACTGATACTATATGCTAATAAAGGCGGAGAGATGCATCATGGAAGCCGCTAGGTCGAGCGCGGACTGATCATTGCTTCCCTAGCAGTGAAGCCTAAAAAGGCATCGAAATCAGAAGCTATAAGGTACTTCAGCCCGAGAGCCGGCTGAAGACCAAAAACCTGCATGGACGGTAGCATATCAAACTCTATGTAATGGTGATTTGCAGAAGCCTTTTGTTTAGAAAGTTGACCCGGTTCAATTAATAGGTGGTTGACGAAGTTAAGCTGTGAAGTTTCTATTTGGTGCGTTTAAAGCTTATTGACTGACAAGTTTTTAAAAAGAACGACTGATCAGTTAGTGAATCAAGTTAGAATAGTCGTAGGTTGTGAGCAGTGAAGACCTAAATAACCTGGCTGTCCATTAAATTATGTCGACGTGAAGCTAAATATAAGTAGGCGCCAAACGGGCTTTCTATTTTTCATAGTTTTTAGCAACGAAAATCTTTCGCATGATCCTAATTATATTGAAGGAATTAGAATTGCTAAGCGGTTACGAAGCGATGATTTGTATATTTTATGTGGATGCTGACTCGATACAGACATACGTTAGCTTAACGAAGCTTTTTTTGCGTTATTTAATTATCCCACACAGGATATTACTGTTCCACAATATCTGCGACACTTTAGGGGCACCGGCACGTTCGTGATTCTGTTAAACGGAACATCAGCAGAATGAGCAATGAAGATCTTAAACGAATGGCTTAACCGGGTATTGCGCCAGTTGAGGAAGCATTTTTCTCTATTCAATGTTGGGTTGAAATATACGATGTATTCAGCGCTTCAATGATGTAATTTACACATTGTCTAAGTAAATAGTGATAAATGCATATAGTAAATGATACGCTGCAAGACGACTTTGAGAGGGGTCTATCTAACAATTGGGAATAAATCAGCTATTGAGCACGATGGTGGACATAGTAGTGATCACTATGCAACGCAAGACAGCCTTCAATACGGGGTAACGGAAAATGGTATCCATATCTGTATGCTCTCCGTGTTCCAAAATAGAGTTGACATTTAGCTCAAAGCGATATTCTCAAATAGTTTGACACGCACTTTTCAAAGACGGTCCAGCAATTCGCCTAAATTGAACACAGAGGTCAAGTAATTCCGTTTTACTATCGTACTTATGGTCTTCAACGAAAATTTCATAACTGTGTATGTATAAATGTCGGGAACGTGGGCATTAATTTGCGCCCAATGATACGGAAAAAAATTTCGCTGGGTATTGAAACATCGTAAGAGTATGCTCATCGTGCCGCGTTTATAACGACCATGACCCTATGTACATTTATTAATGGCTTTTTAATTCCTTTTCGTATCGGATCTGCATTCACTTACGAAAAAATATGCAATAGAACAATGTATACCGTTCGAAATCTACCTACGGATCTAACAAATTTGCTCTACCATTCGGGCGTATCAAAAGCTACGTAAGTTTCTTTCACGATTTAATAATGGCTGCTCTATAACGGCGGAAACGGCCGCTTTACAAAAGACTAAATGACTGGTGACAGTCGCAGAAATTCAATCTGAAATTATTTAATAATTTCCAGAATACGAAATTTCCCACCGCACATCCTCCTCGAAATTTTTTTATCGATGTAGCGCACGCAAAAATATATATCATATAGAAGGTCATTAAACCTTCTCATCTTTACGTTTAGAGGTTTCATCTTGATTGCTTGATTGGTTGATCTTGTACCTTGCCCCCGACCAGCGTCACCATACACCATCGGGTCGACTCATATGTAAAGCTGTGTACTTGCGGGAAAGATTGTCACATCAAACTTGTCCGCCATCAGGGGACCTTGGCTAATTATTTGGCCGAATTTTGACCTTTTAAGACCTTTTAACTGACACTTTGAGCCTTGACGTAACGTTGGGCATATTTTCCCAGCAAAACTTAGCAACTTGAGAAGGCAGAGAAAGAAAACAAAGGTAAAGTATATGTTGATAGGGATACGAAAAGTAACTTGAGTGTAACACCTTTTTGAGAAATAAAATAACCTTTAGCGGGAGAAAGCGGAACTTTTTATTGTCATATGACATCCAAAAGCTCCTTCTCCAACTTTTCTCTCAGATCTGTCCTTCATATGAATCGTCTGCTTGGCAAAGGATGCAGTGCTGTGCCAAGATTACTCGTTTTTCAGCATTTCGGTAACCATCTCAACTCAGGGTAAGTTTAAGGCGAAAGCTAATGTTTTCCTCAGCTCTTTCCGTCTCT